CAGCAAAAGTTACGTCATCTTTAACTTATCAGCAGGAAATCACAGTAGAGCAGTTAGAAATGACTCGGAGGTTTGAGGCTTCTACCCCCAGCCTGATGGCTGGTGATCAAACAATGGTTTTCAAAGGCCTAGAACCTAGAGAACCAAGAACCTGGCAATTATTAACTAGAAGCCATGCTACACTGAGTGTTGGGACCAAGGGTCAAAGGGTCTGGATCGGTTCATTCTCCCTACAACAAACCAACACCAGTTTTTTCTAACGCATTAGATTTACTGGAAATTCATTCCAGATCCTTTGATCTGTCTAAGGACGAGGTGCCGGCACCAATGATCCATCCCTACAAGGTTCTGATGGGTTTAACTTCTGATCAAATCCTGAAAATGAATCATCGGTCCTTCTGGATGCGTTGGAACTAATAACCTCTCTGTTCTACAGGTCAAAGCTCAATAGATCCAGTTCAAAGAGTGTGTTTGAACCATCGACTGTCTACAGTCACTACACATCCTACTGGAATCTGGAAGCCACAGATGGGGACTTGTGGCATCAACAAGTCAACTCCATGTCGTGATTTTATTCTGCTCGGCACCTGAACAAGGTTCATTCACTGTGCTAATTGAAATCACCTGGTTTTAATTGCTGAACTGAAGAAAAACATCATGGAGATGACTCGTTGATGCCACAAGTCCCCCTCTCAGCTGCCTCTAGTCGCTAGTTCCAGTACAACCTTTAAGCCCAGCCCCCTCCAGGCAAACCAATAAGACGCCACGAGCTAGACTAGAGTAGGTGGGACTAGCTCTAAAACATGGCGGCGCTCATAAACTGGACTAGCAACAGCAACAGCAGATGGTGGAGACGTCTTAGATCTGTCTTTATACACGTTAAGTTTGGACAGCGTGCAAAATCTTTCCAACTGATATTCAGCCGTCAAAAAAACGACGGACGATATATTTGCAATGGTGACAGTTAAGGATGTTGTGGGCCTAACACAGCAACACATGCTCACTCCCAGCGCGTCAAAAACAAACGCTCGGTCAGCCACCCTCCGCGTCAGACCTCTGACGCCAAAAGTGCCCTTTTTTGTCACCTATGTGCGAAAAGGGGGTTTTCCCTTTTCTGAATGCAGATCCTAATGCAGCGTAAAACTGTCTACAGTTACAAAACTCTAGTCTACAAGTACAAAACGTTTTGTCACAATTCAAGCTTGCTTCCAACAGGAATTGTCTTCGAAAGGAATCCAAGACTGATGATTGGCTGGTTAGACAAAGATTGGCGTTGGTTCTTTGGGAAGCGAGCTAGAATTGGTGCAAAATGTTTTGTACTTGAGTTTTGTAGACTGAGATGTGTGTTTTGAGAGTTGCACATTGATCGTTTTCTGCAAGTAAAAAAATTAAAGTTTCATGCTGCGTACCAAATATTACGTGTTACAAAACGAGAATTACAAGTTACAAAATGGAAGTTACTTGTTACAAAACATGTTACAGGTTACAAGGCTTGGTACAAGTTACATGTAATGTTGTCCCAATCCTAGTTCTATACATACAGCATTGGAATCTCAAGAATCCTAAATGATGTGTAATACGCAGTATCCTTGGCATCAAAACGTTGCACCTAAAAAACGATCGGCGTAGGGCCCAGCCGAACGCTGATCGCCCAAAATTCGTCCAATCACCCAACCTT